ATCCTGAACAAAACAAGTTATATAATTAAAAATAGGACAGCATGGATATCGAATCAACAAATAGAGTGCCACAGCTATGTGATTTTTTAAATGAAAATTTCATGGAAAGGTCAAGGAAAAAAACAAATTGAAATTAAAGAATGAAATAGCACCTGCCCAAAAATATCATCCACCTCTTGCTATGCTTGTTCAAACTTTTGGTAAAAATCCCCCACCCATGTTGCTCCTTTAAGCTTGAAATCCATCTTTTACCATGCAAGACTGCACCGGGTCTAGAATGCCAGATAGATTATACTTTACTGCAAGTGGACTAACTTCACTTGCACGCTGGAAGATCCCAAAAAATCTGACACAGCAGTCAAGGTAAGGCACCTTATATAAGAAAGCTCAATATTCAATAATATACATATCAGTAGCTAAAAAATTGTCCTCCGCGGGTAATACGCACATTAGATAGTGCGCCTTAATTTTTAACACTACCACCAGAGGCAAAATCAATTCCACACATCGTAAAATCAGATATGAAGAAAGGGGACTCCACATTATATTTATAAATTATAATTACAATTGAAAACAACTATGGTTAATAGAAACCAAAGTAGCATATTTGAAATTAGATACTAAAGCAGAGTTTATAGCAAGTAAATGAATTTAACTCTACGAAATTAAAGCACAGAACTTTTGTGTATTTGATTTATAAATTCAAAACCCTGAAGCTCATACTTTAGAACTTTTAAAGGCCAATTAAGCTGGTAGAATCTATGTAGCTCAGTCTACCTATGCGTTGCCACGCAACTTAGACTGCTTAACACATCACGCTGTTTGAAAAAAGGTTCATTACTTGATGACATGACTTCCTCAGATTATCATTAGGGTTGGCAACTAAAGCAACTGATGCATTTTATATTAGGCCAATAGCAATTATCTATTTTCCCTCAGACGTACACAGTACACAGTGACCCAAAAAAATTTTCCTTAAAAAAAAAAAAAAGCTGGCTGGTTTTTGCCCGAGTTCAGCTGGTAGCTGTTTATCAAGGGGTAGAGAGGGCCTCGAATTTTCTACAATCGCAGCATCGTGATTAGTTAGGGGTGTCTAAATAAAAAAGAAAAAGGATTTCGAAATCGAACAATTCAGGGGCAAGCCAGAACTTGACATGAAATCGTTAGGATTTTTCCAAAGTCGTCAAATTTATACAACACAAGCACAATGCACTGTTTCCCTCTAAACGGACACGAGCATCAAAATACATGTGTATGGATATATATGCAGAGCATCCTGCCAAAAGCATTTAGTGATGCAAAAAGGATATGAGCCGAGCAACTTCCTTTAACAAACCCATGTGATCCATGATGAAATTTCAACACGGCCCATATGGTTTATATGATCAAACTGGTACTTCTCCAAAACCAAGGATACCCAGAATCAGAATTTGGAGAGCTGTAGAAGAAGTGATAAATATTAGAAGAAGAAAATAGAGAGAAAAGTTGGAGAATGATTCGGTGCTCTTTTATTCAATGAACGTATCCTTAAATAGATAGGTACATTACATCATGAATTAAATAAATAAAATACTTAAATAATCTCCATAACTTGTAACAACCAAATCATGGAGATAATGCCATGGTTATAATGATAAACGTGCGCCAACTAAAAAACAATAAAGAAAAGCGGTTAACGAAAATCATGCCACAATGTCTGACAAATGAAATTATTTGGATAATGTCAACAGTAAAGGAATTCATGAGTGAAGTATGTAATGGACACGTGGTTCCTAAATAAAATCCCAACAAGGACCGTGAAGAGTGGAACTGAAACAAATATGATCAGTCATCAGCAACCCTAACAGCTAGGCTTTGATGAGTGTGTCAAGGGCCAAGCGCGAGAACACTGAAGCCGAGGTATGACCCTCACAGCAAAGGGAGGTGAGGGCTTTGCTTTGAGAATCCGGAAAAAATAGTTGTTTTAGTATTATTATCAGCGTCACCATAATCATCTTATCATCCTCATCGTCTATCAACATTTTTTACTGTGCATCCACAGAAATATAATTTCCTTTTAAATATTTTGTATTTTTCATAATATCTCAATAATATTATTATTCATATAAAATATAAAATTTGTGATATGACACCCTATTTATGACAATGAATAATAGTACTGCTACTTTGTAATTGGACTTTTTAGCCTATGTTTTGCACAAAATCTAATATGAATATGCTTAAATTGCTTTATTCATGAATATTTTGTTACACATTGATAAATTTTACTGTGCATCTTTAATTTCAGTGTTATTTTAAAAGTTAATACATTTATAAAAGGCACAAAATTAGTTTTTATCAAATCATGGATATACTCCTTTTTCATGTATATTAATAATATTTAATCAATGCATTTTTTGCATCAAATTTTTTTTTTTCAAGTTTAGTTTATTAGAAAATTAAGTGTAATGTAGCAACTTTGTTAAAAAAAAATCTACCTTTTACTTTTCATACCTCGATAGAAATAACTTCTATTGTTAGTAAAGTCTACTCCTCATACTATATATATATTTATATAAAAGAACATTATCTGCTAGAGAGATGTAATGATTAGTTATAATAATATAATCAATAAAATTTAAGGTATGTTTAAAATTTTTTATTGTCACTAATGGGGTTGACAATATAGTTGGAGTGTGTTATGAAATCACTTTATTTGAGTTAAAAAATGTTTTATTTCTAAACTTGCAAAATTGGTCACAAGACTTGCAATTTCATTAAAAAAAAACAAAATTCGTGCTAAAATCACTTTAATTTGGCTGAAAATTTAGTTAATGTTTTGTTTAGATATACATGAATTTGGATTTGAGACAAAACCATTATTTAGATAATTAAAAATGTATAGATTTGGATTTGACCCAAATTCAAATCTAAGTTCTTCTTTAATTTCTTTTTAATTTAAAATCATTTCTAAACCCCTATTATTTCAAATCCTAACTCAAGCTCTTTTGTAATTTGACCAAAATACTTGAAGGCTTGATTGACCTGCCAACGGTAATTTGATTGAACCACTAAAGTTGACAAAAACAAGTTGCCACCATTGACCAAGAGAAGACGGCCGACTTCTAATGGGACCAGACTAACTGTGACAACGGGGACCGGATGCAATGCAACGATGGGGACTAAACACCCGACTTTCACCAGGACCAGACCAATTGCAACGACAGGGATCAGACACCCGACTTCTACCGCAACCACACCGACTATGACAACAGGGACAGGATGCCAAACTTCCACCGGGATTGGACCGACTGCGACAACCAGGACTAGACCGACTGTGACAACAGGGATTGAATGCCTGACTTTTATTGGGACCGAATTGATGACAGCGAGGAGGATCGGATAGTTAACTTCCATCCAGACAAAACAGACTATGATGACCGGGACCGGACTGATAGCCACGACGGGGACCAAACTCTCGACTTCCAAATGGACCAGACCGACAGTGAAGACGGGGAGCGGACTCCTGACTTCGACAAGACCTAATTAAAGGGGACCGGATGACAGACTTCCACCAAAACCAAACTAATGGAGATTGAACTAACTGGGACGATGGGGACCAAACGACTGAATTTCACAAGGACTGGACCGATGGCTACGATGGGGACCAGACAACCGACTTCCACAGGGACCTGACTAACAATGATGACGGAGGTCGAACGACTGACTACCATTGGGACCAAACTGACAGCCAATAATGAGGACCGAAAGTCCAACTTCCATAGGGCGAGGACCAGACAACCACCTTCCATTGCCATCACCTTTAATATGGTTACTGTCAGTCCAGTTCGGTGCCGTTGGAAGTTGGCCATCCATTCACTATCATCGCCATCAGTCCGATCCTAATGGAAGTCGGCCGTCTGATCCCCGTTGTCCCCACCTGTTTAGTCCTTGACGATCCGATCCCTGTCGTCGCTAGAGGGCCGGTCCTAGTGGAAGTCGACTAGGGGTCCCGTGCTCGTCGTCACAACATTCTGATCCTGATGGAAGTTGAAGGTCCTATCCCGATCGTCACCAGTGCCACAGTCCCAGTCAAGTTTTTTTGTCTAATCTTGTTAGAAGTTAACCATTTGAATTGTCAACTGTGATCAATCTTTCAAGTTTCTTTTAAATTCAAATATAAATTTTAAAATTTAAAATTTTATTTTAGATTCAAATAGAGGATTTCAATATTATAATTTAAAATTTTTTATATCATCCAAATAAAAAATTTAGAATCCATGAATTTTAAATGTAAGATTTCAAATTCCAAATTAAATTCATTCATCCAAACACAACATAAAGAAATTATGACATCATTTTATCTGAGTTGAAAAAATGTTTAGTCTCATACTTGTAATTAACGAACTTAAACTTTGTTAGTGTTTAAATCACTTTAACTGAATTGAAAATTTTATTTAAAGAGATTTAAAATCACTTCATTTGAGTTGAAAAATTATTTACTGCTTACAAAGTTAGTCAAACTTGGCCACAAGAGACATTTTAGTTAAATTATTATTTTTACAATCACAAAATAGAATAATGGTCCTAAAACTCAATTTCATAATTTCATGATTCTATGATTCATATTAGTTATTTGCAAAGTCCTCATTTATAATTGTCCCTAAAAAGTATCCTACGAAAGCAATACGATACACACGCATAAATAAATATACACCAATCAATCTACTACTTACTATCTCCTCATGTTATTACAGAACTCAAGGATGCTTATTTTTGCTCGGCTCATGTACAATATTCAATGTCACCAGTCAATTTGTTTGCCTAGATTAACTAACTATATTTTGCATATTAACTTCACCAAAGGGCAGAATTCAAATAGTCCCCCCCAATTTGACATATGCCAGAAGATTTAACGAGGCCAATTTCTTCGGCTTTCAAAGTCGCCGATTTAATACAAACACACAGCAGTTGCTAGATATTCACATTAGCTTAGTAACACAATATCAAGACATCAAAGATAAAATAAATGATACCATAATATTGACTGAAAAAATCATGTGTTGTTCCATTACATAAGCATAAAGATTCACGATTCATTGGATTGAAGGGCAAAACTAAAAAAAATTAGAAGTTTTCCAACACATGACTTCACCTCAGGTTGTTTGAACATAATTCATCCTTATCTACATGGCCACAAGACTAACATATCCCTCAATCATCTCATGTAGCAATTGTTTCTACCTGACCATCCTCCATTTGGTGGAAACCCTTCCATGTTCTGATTTGATAGCATCGCTCCCATATTGCTGGGTGGCATGTTGCCCTGGCTGCTAGGAGGGCCTCCACCCATATTGTTGGGTTTGTATCCGCCCTGGTTGTTGGCCGGGTACCCACCAGGGTTGCTGGCCGGGTAGCTGCCCGGATTGCCGGCAGAGTATCCGCTTGGGTTGATGAGTGTGTATGCACCCTGGCTGTTGGGAGGGTATCCGCCTTGGTGGCGTGGATAGTTAGGACCAGGACCAGCATTCAGCATGGGAGGTCTACCTTGTGTATCTCTGTTCACAATATTTTCCCTCCTCCCAAAATTTCTCGACCTATCAGCATTGCGAGGCCTGTGATTGCGTCTGTTCCTTTCATTTGCTCGTGCGTTGTTCCTTACCCATTCTTCATGATACTTGGGATCATATGGAACAGCTTGCCCGTTGATAAAGGGTTCACCTGGTGGGGGAATTGGGAGATTCCACTAGATGTGAGCGGACTGCAGTCACGCAGCAGGAATAATATAATATATGCAATAGATTACATTCTAGCAGGATTTCAGGCGTCATACAAATAGAGCAGATCCTTACAAACTTTTGAGAGATGCTGATGATTTATTAAATTGACCAGAGCGGGAAGAAATGCACGTATCATACAATATTCAGAAGATTATTGAAATTAAAGGGAAAGTTCTTACCTCCATAATCTTTGTTCTTGACATCCAAATATGAATCAGGAAGGACCCAACGAACTCTAGACAATTCTGCAATTTCAAAAAAGATTAGTTTAAGCCCTTGATTTTAGCGGAAATTTATTTAACAAAAAAAAAAAACAGAGAGAGCCAAAATGTTTAGGATTGTCGTCACCCTTAAGTTTGTACGAAAGCTCTTCAGACACAAGGGCTCCAAATGCATAGTAGTGTCTAGTTGAAACTGAATATATCTTCATCCTGGCTTCTTCTTCACTGAAAGAGTGAACGATTGATTGCTCATTAGGCCAAAACGTGAATTCATATAAGTAGTGAAAAAGGATATTTTCCCTATATTTTTCCTAAAAGCAACAAGCAAAACATAATTGCTTCACTTCCTCTTCTGCTCAACCATTCATTTAAAGTATGATCGTACAGCCATGGCTAGAACTACAGTAGACGTGTAGATGAATAGCCTGCAAAAGCTGCTTCTTCTATTGTGAAGTAATCTATTAAGCCGCCAAAACAAAATGTATGCCATAATGAATACGCAGCTAAGCTAACACAACGTCAAAGGAAACGATCCTCCAACTTCAATAAAACGCATCTCCCGACAGTCAAGAACTAAAATTTTTTTTGAGATCCTAAAGAAATTGATCACCTAACCTTCCGCTGATAAGTCATACAGCAAGGGTAAGACGATGGATGTTATGGAAGACAGTACCAGCCCACCACCTGAGCAAGAGTTTTGATGTATTTATCAATGATCTCGTCCCTGGTGGGATCACCTTCGGGCTTCTCCATGACAACAAGCCAATGCTCAAAATCACATCCATCAAGCAAGATTGTCTCTTTAGGTGGCCGGTTCGACCAGTTGGGGTTGGGATCATTGAGCGAAGAGGAAGTCGCACGGGTCGAGAAGGTCCGCAAGGAGGGAGGCGCAACTAAGCGGCGATGGATATCGGCAGAAGCGACGGCGAGAGGGCGGAGCGGTGGAGGAAGGCGAGAGCGGCGGTGATGGAGAGAGATCAGATGAAGTGACAGTGATGGTGGATGAAAGAGAGTGAGAAAAGAAGAAAGCCGATGTTAGAGATTTAGGGAAGGCCCGAGAGAAGATTTGAGTCGCCATGGCTACGATTGAGCTAAAGGACTGAGCTTGACCTTTAAGAATAAAAACCCTAACGAAGTTTCGGGAGGGTATGCCAATGCAAACCTGAATGAAATTTATAGGATGCAGGCCTGACAAGCTCTGAAACTTCTCAGCACGTCCAGAGTCCGGAACCAGATCCTCTCCTAAACAATAACTTTTTACACCAAATTTCATTACTTTTTATACGTACATTTTTTAAATTAATGATTCATTATCCTAAAAAATATATATAAAACATAGCGTAATAAAGTGAAAAAATTATTTTTTAAAATTAAATTATTTTAATATGAGTTGATGTGATGAGATATGAGACATTAAATAAGAATTGAAGGCTGGAGATCTTCTTGTTGTTGGGAGACACTGAGGGAGAGAAATGTGAGAGACCTGAATCTCCAAAGTCTTTGGACACCAAGCAAAGCTATCGAACCATTATATACTTTTAATTATATATTATAAAATATAATATATATATATATATATATTAAAATTTATTTTTAAGTATTTATGAGACTTAGGAGTTATGATGTGTGTACATACACACACACACACATAACTTATTTATATATAAAAAAAATTAATTTTCTAAAACTTTTAATATTCTTAACAATTTGGTGTTTCAAAATTAACATTGGAAAGCAGTGTCTTCTACAATTGAAAGGAAGAAAACATACACAAAAATTAGTGGTGGAGCCATATATATTTGAAGAGAGGCATATGCCTCCCCTCAAATGAAAAACATTACTTACATGGGGATAAGGGTATACATATTTATATTTTGCACCCTTTTTTTATGCCCCCCTCAAATTGAAAACATTACTTACATGGGGATGAGGGTATATGTATTCATATTTTGCATCCTTCTTTTTTATATTTTACATTTTAAACTCATTTCATATTAATTTTTAACTTAGATCCAGAATTAATTTTTTTAACTCAAAAGCCCAATAAATTTTAGCCCAAAATTTTAATATACCTAAATAGTAATATTATTTATAAAAAATTAACATTTATTAAATTAAACCTTGAAGAAAATAAGAAAAAAAATCTATCCCACGTCATTTGAAATCTCAAATCAAATTTGTGGAAAAATTAGTTAAAATTGAAAGATATATTGTTTATTCATTAATTTGCCTTCTCTTGAAATAAGCAATGGTATTTCTTGTTGCCATAGTAACAATTGAAAAAGCCTTTTCTACTATGAAGTTTGTAAGAAATTAGTTGCACAATCGAATAAGGAATCTATAGATGAATTATTGTCTCATAACTTGTATTAAAAAAGATGTATTTGAAAGCATTGACAATGAGCTAATTATTTAACAATTTCAAAACATGAAACCATATAGAGAAAATTTATAAGATGTGTAATTATTAAATTATTTTTTAAAATTATGAATATATAAATGATTTCGCCCCTCCTAACCCAGGATCTCGGCTCCACCACTGACAGAAACAAAAAGTCAAGACACCAAACATGTGAACTCCTTGGTGTCGCAAATGAGGGAAATTAAGGTGAGCAAACTCACCCGAGCATCACTGAGTCTCCTGTGAACCGCTCGCTCACCCCAAACAACATCATCTGCCAAAATCATTGAACAAAAGACACAATCAATAGCAAAATAAACTTGATTAAATCAGCTTAAAAACCATTAAGAGCAGCCCAATCAACAAAATTGAAACCATAAGCAGCTAAAATTAGGAGCTAAAAAAACTAATTGAAAAGTAGACTATAGAACTACCACTCGAGATTGGGGGCGTGATGGACCTCATGGCATGGATGACATGGCGTTAATGACAATGAAACTTGAGGGTGGTAATCATGAGCATGATGGCATGAAAGGAGCCCAAGGCAAGGAGCAAGGAGCCTAACACTTCCAATCCAATGTGCCTAAAGACCCTTTATAACATATTGTAGATCCAATAACAAGAGCCCGAACTAAAATCATGAAGCAAGCCTTGTTTAATCTTGTGCAAGAGGTCCAAGAGCTTGGAGAGCATTGGGGCACTCCTTTCAACCCTAAAGGAGAGAAACCTCTAAGTGTGTATAATGTGCTTAAGATCAAATCCATGAAGAGTCGAGCCCAAGAAATGCAAACCCTAACCTAATGTAAGGAAGACTACAAGTTAAGCCTCTTGCAAGCAAGGAGGCATGAAACCCTAGTGAAGAATTCAAGGGTGGCGTGATTTTAAATTCTTTATGATCCCTTGATTGTCTCCTAAGTTGTTTCCTATTTTAATAGTCCTTTGACTTGACTCCCTTTCTTAAGGAGCAAGTCTAGTCATAGTTTCCTATTTTGTTAGGATTAATTATAGTATTTTAATTTTCAAGTTGTGTGATCCCATAATTTTAGGATCACATTTCCTAAATTATGTGGCTGAATATTTATTTTATATTATTTTCTTTCTTCTTTTAGTATTAGAAAATTAGGGTTTTAATTTTAGGAAATAGTTTTCTCTATGAGCCTATATATATATATATTAGGAATGTTCCCTCTTGTAAATGAAAAGAGAAGTTGAATGAAATTATTCATTTTAAAGTTTATAACTCTTATGAGTCTTAATGCTTTGTGGTGGCATCTTATATGAGAAACAAACATGATTAAGAGCGTGATCAACTCTTGTAGTGTCTTTGAAGGTTGAGGTTCTTAAAGGAAGGTGCTCTAGAGGATCTTATTCTTAATTATTATCACGTTGTTTATTTTCTTTCTTTCTTTATTTTTGTCATAAATTTCGTTCCTTTCTTTTTGTTCTTGTGTTTTTGTTATGTTTCACGATTCTGTCCTTAAACTAGCATGATTCTGCTTCCGCGTCCCCTATTAAGGCCACAATCTTGACCACTGTGTTGGAGTCACTTGAGTTTAACCTTGACAAAAGCCCACAGAGGAAGATCTGGTAAGAAACAAATGATAACAGTACAAATCAACAATGGCAGAGGAGGCAGAAACAACTAGTTGAAGGATGTCATTTTGCTTCTTCCAAGATAAAGTGAGGCGAGGTTGGTGAAGCCAGAGTGTTTGAGGGAAGGCAGGGTGAATGCAATTTCCTGGGTCTTTGATTCTTCAGGTCTTCTTGAACATTGGGAGAGGGAGTAAAGGTCAGAAGCTGAAAAGGGAAGAAAATGAAGAAGGAGAAGCAAAGAAAAGTGACACATGTAAATTTGATTTGGGAAGAACAAATCAAGTTATTGGTCAAAGCAAAGAAAAGTGACACGTGTGAATTTGATTTAGGAAAGTAAATTTGATGTCTAAATTAACGGTGGTGCAATATTACACCTTTTTTTAAAATTTTAAAATAATATTATACAAGTGTCCCATTGGTACATAAAAGAAAACATTCCTTTAAGACTTGGAAAAGCGTAAACAAAGTTTGGGAGAAATTTCTAGAGGGATTGGGCACACGGTGCATACCTAGAAAATCATCTAACTTCTGGTACGATAATTGGTCAGCTATGAATACACCTTTGATCACACTTTTAAAGAACTATGCTGTTCCAGTCAATCTTGAAGCTAAAATTGAGCAGTTTATTAAAGGGATGGCACCTGGGATCATTATGAAATGATGAAATGGCTTAATTACTCTATTGTGAGTTGAATTACTAGCATTAGCCAACCTAAAGATAGCAGAGGGAGAGAAAGTTTTATGTGGAAGCCATCCTCTGATGGCACCTTTAACATATCTTCTGCATATAATTTTATCTCTGTAGGTACAATGTAAAGTCTCCCTTACTTAACCATATTTAACTCCATAAAGATGGTAATTAAGAGATTAACACTCAAAGAATTACTAAAGTTGTAACAATTACAAAAGTGAGAACAATTCTTAAATCATTTACAATGGGATTTCAACACTCAATTTTCAATCTTAATCACACACTTAAAATGTTCAAATTAGAGTTTGAAAATGATGTGTGTAATGCCCTCATTGATATTATCATACGCTCTACTACAATCAATCATAATCAATTCAAAATTATTTACTTTGAAAACTTGAAAACCTTGGGATCCCAAGAAAATATTTTCAAAAATTATTTTGTAAACCCCTCGGGTTATAAAACCCTACACATAGCGGAAGCAATAAGTATAAGTACATCAAAGAACAAGAAAACATGTGTATTTCAGCAAAGTTAAGTCAAATTTAGAACCATGCATCGTAGTTCGTGCCATATGCACTATGGCATGTGGCATAGAGACCACAATTGTTTGCTTTATGTCGTGCACTGCGGCATGCAAATACATGCATCGCAGCACATGCACCTAAATTTGCTGTCAAAATACATATTTTTGATGCGAACTTTAGATGTGTGCCATTTTCACATCCGATATCTGATTGGATGGTTTAAGTACTCACACGAAGCTTGTATTGAAATCTAACTAATGACACTGATTTCATTTCAATCCAACATTTCTATCAAAAATTAAAGACCTAAGTGCATTTTGACTGTTTTATGCTAAAATTTTGCCACTTAAGTGTCTCAATTTGAAACCAAATGTTATTAGTCACTTTTCGGGCCTTGATCACATCTAAAGAGACAATAGACACCTGATTGACCACACAAATGCACAATATAACATACATACACATATTTGGCCTGTAAACTGGCCATTTCACACTTTTGGGCACATTTTTCATTTTCAATCTCATACAAAGTCAAATCATCACACATATACTTCAAGCATCTCATATTCACACACATACACATTCATCCATTAGCTCGTTCCATCATTTCATCATTCATATATATACAAGGCTAGGGAGATCAAAACTAACAAAACACCATATTCAACATATTATGTACATGTTTGAATCCTAAAGGAACTTATACATATTCATAACTAACAATTTACAAGTCATTACACCAATTCTTATAAAAGCTTAGGCGAGAGATATTAACTTAGCCTATGTCATTTCCCTTAGAACTACTAGTGCCAAGACCTGAAAACATAAATAACCACAGGTGAGATAAAATATCTGTAAGTTCATTCAATGCCTATTACCACAAATAATCATACCAAAGTAACAAAAACTAAAGTAAGATCAAATATATAGCAACATATGAAGAA